TAGATGAAGTAATTCGAAAATGGAAGGGAATTATAGGATTAAAAGTATTTCACACGATCGACGAAATTATTTTTCTTCCAGAGTATTTGTGTTTCACTTTCTAAACGAAACCGGTCTCTTAAAGGTAAACAAACATGAAAAATATCAAATTAGATATTTGTTCACGTTGCAGTAAAGATATTGATTGCAGGCACTACAAACCGTTCCCAGCTATACCCGGAATAACTAAAAAAATTTAAATGATTTAAAACCTGTCAATGTGTCAAATTCATAAATTCTCTCTGGGCCACCTGTTTCCAAACGTCGTTTTTAGAAATATTTGTAATTGGCATGCACTGAGAGACTTTTTACTAAATGAATGATGTATAAAACGAAATTGCATTGTAAAAAATGTCATCACTGTGGCAGAGTACCTTCAAGTACAATTATTAGCTTTAGTTTACTCGAATTGTAACAGAGTGATTAAATACATGTCAGATTATAAAGAAAAACCAATGTATTTGAACTTGAGTTTTTAGGCAAATATTAATTATTTGAATCGGCAATTATAATAAACTTTTTTGAAACGTACTGCAGAATCTCATAACAGAAGACCCAAAACACAAGTACTCACTTTCATTTATCTATTTATAGAACTTGAGTCGTTCCTAAAATCGCTCATATTCAAAACATGCAATGAAGCTTAACATTATAAACATACATAATATACTACTACAGAAATCGGTTCAAAATAAAGCAATCTTGTTGGTTCCAAGTTTTAAGTACGGGAAAGATACTGAAATTACGTTTTTATTTCCAAATCTTCAGTACTGTTTGTGCAAATCAACTTCGCGTTTTGGAAGCCGCATGCTTGTTTGCCGTCTGCTCCCTTCACCGGCGCGCGTTGCCGCCCTCACTGCACGACCGCCGAGCGAAACGTCTCCCCCACGTGCGCCGGGAGCCCCCCCTCCCCCTGGCCACGGCGGACAAAGGAAGGCGCCGGCGCGCCCACGTCGTCGCCGCCGCCGCCGCC